TTTATACCAGAATTGGTAACATTAATCTGAAAGTATGTACTTCAGTTATTATATAGAAAAGAGGAACAGACACCATTCTGGATCCGATTTGCTCAATATGAAAAGCACAAGGATGGTATCCATTTTTTACCTTTTTCCTATGAGTTTTCTCATGTTACCTCATTCTGTCGTCAAAATAAGGTAATATATTGTAAAACTACCCTGTGAGGCAGGGTATCACCGTTACAAATTAGGAAACAGGTATGGAAGTGTGTGCCCAAAGTCAAATTAGCAGCAGAGCCAAGCATAGACAACAACTATTAGACATCAATTTGCTCTAGTCTATGTGAGTTTATACATCTTGAGTACTTTAAAAGATGTATGATTTTCTTGGTGTAGCAACTCCTTTCAGTGCGCTTTAAAACGTTGCCTTCCTGAGCTCCTGTGGCTGAAAAAATATCTCCTAGCAGCCAACTTTCTTGTGATATGGGGGAGGAGGAGGGGTGATAGAGACTGTGAGAAAAAGGGAAAGACAGAGAGAGAGGGACAGGGAGATATAGAAAGGGTGTAAAGGGAAGGAAAGAGAAGAAAGAGAGGGAGAGGGGCTGTATGTTTATTTTCAAAATTCAAGTTAGCTTCTCTGGATTGGAAGCATTGTTTCAAGGTTATAAATAAGATTCGAAGAAGGATTACATAACAAAACTTAATGAAAATCCTCTATTTTTTTTCAATATAAATGGTTCAAACATAGGTTGTATCATAAATCCTGTAAATATGCAGAAAATTAAATTAAAATCTCAAAATTACAACCTTGACACTTAAAAATAATTTTAGTCCTAGCTTTCCCCTTATTCACTAAAAATGTTCATAATCACCCACTGAGAAAACTTTTTTAACTGAAAAGTATTTATACAAATATTTGGAATGGAGATGATTTTAAAAACAACAACCGATAGCTGTGCATACCCCTTTCTCTTTCCAGTCCGGGAAGAGTTCTTCAAAAGCAGACGGTTCAAGACAAGCACCAGACAGAGTATGGGCTCCTATCTGAGCAGCCTTCTCCACCAGACATACTCGAATTTCTTTTTCATGTTTAGCAGCCAACTGTTTTAGACGAATAGCTGCAGAGAGACCAGCAGGGCCTCCACCAACTATTACTACATCAGCTTCTTCTGCAAATCTCTCCATGTTCACTCCTTTAAATGAGGTTTAAAAAAAAGAATTAGGTACTATTTCTAGACATTTCTATTAGATATTACAAATTCTAACCTAAATACAATATTTATAATAAGTATATTGCTATAGTAGGTGCTTCCTAAATCCTGGAACAGTGTTGATTTTATTAGCCTTGGTAAATCAAGTCTCAGCTTTGATTCTTCACATATACCGGCATCTAAATGTAAACTCACCTAGAGATTAGTACTTATGAATTTATTTGGCAAAAGTACAATTTAGATACACTGAATACAAAATGTAAACGTTGAATTATCATGGGAAAACTACAGATACGTCATTCCTTAAAAGGAAACTTTGAAATTGTCCCATGCTTAGTGTTTTCACACTGGCTTTACCTAGAAAAACTTGCAACAATTTTCTGCCACTTCTTACTTACCTTCCCATCGACTGTCTTTCTCCCGAGGACAGATTGTATAGTGTGTGGTGATACGAGGCACCACAGAAGCTGAAGCCCATCTTGCAGCACCAGGATGTAGCAGACAATCCTTCTTGATTATTTTTAGGGCATGTAAGCACTGATGTGCTGCATAAAAATCAAGGACATTACTTTTGTAATTTACTTTTCATGGTAAACATATCCCTGTGAAGCGGCAGGGCACAGTGGAAAGACTACTGCATTTGGAACGAGACAGGCCTGGGTGCAAACCCAACTCTGCCACAGACTCATATCCGGGCCAAGTCCCTTCACTTCTCTAGTATCAGCCCCTTATCTGTAAAATGAGGGGATTGGGCTAGATGTTCTTTAAAGCCTCTCCCAGCTTTAAAATTCTACAATTCCATTAAATATCACTATTCTTCCAATCAAACTATTATACACACCATTCCAGGTACACGGAGAATAGACTAAAACCAAACCTAGAAAGACATGCTGGAACCACATCGTGGAGGGGGCTGAATACTAGGCAAAGGACCTATTTAGCCACATTGACCTATGTCTTGTTTGTTTTTTCTTAATAGCCAAAATGCCAATATGTATATGTTTCAGGTTCTCCAGAAGTATATCAACTTATCAGTTCTCAGATAGAACTCGAATGTACAGAACCATAAATGAATTAATGTTCATAATCTAAAAATGCTGACCCAGTACTTCCTGCAAACCATCACAGTGGAAAAGGTGTGCACAACAATGAGGGCCAATCTACAAATTTATCTTCTTAACATGGCTCAGAGAGAAGTATAATGATTTGCTCATGGTCACAAAGCTTATAAGTGTCAGAGTAGGGATGTGAACCCCAAATCTTTTCTGGGTCAAGTCAAATGCTCTTCTACCAAATGCTGATGGATAACCACAAAGTTGAAGCCAAAACCCAAAAAAACTAGGAGGGCTTCTGGCAAATTAGGTAAATCCTAAGGATTTATGGAAGGATCTACCAAAGAATATGGCAGAAAATACACAACATTAGAAGACATAAATGGGTTGTGATCTGTACTTTTCTCACCATAATTCTGAAATAGGTAATATAACACTTTTGGGGTCACTCAGCTAGTCAGTATCAAAGTCAGCACTTTCACATAGGTCTTCTGACTCTAAGATCAATGTTCTTAACTCTACAATTCAACGTACGATATGCTGTCATATGTTGAAAAAAAAAAGTTTGGAGGGACCATAATGGCAGTCTTTGAAGATATGAAGGGTTGTCATGTGGAAGACTAATTAGGCTTTGGGTGAATGGATCATACTATGGAATTAAGGTCATGAGATCATTTAAGGATCTTATTGGCCATTAAAAGGCCAACCCCTTTTATATATAGGAGGAAACTGTTGCCAACATTTGAACCCAGGTCCTCTGAATCTAAATCCAACAGCCTTTTTACTGTACCATGCTGTGCCTCATGGGTCACTGGGGACAGACCTTGAATTTAGAGAATCAGTAATTGAATTAATGTTCAAAGTCTAAAAACATTGACTCAGCATTTCCTGGCTTCTTTTCTGTCAGCACACCATCACAGCTGAAAATGGGTACACAATCAAGGGGCAGAAAATATAAGAACTCAGATATTGGCTAGGGAAAAGCTTCTTAAGTGAGTTATCCAAAATCAGAGTGTGCTACTGACTGTAAGGGATGGCATGGTAACTGAATGTATTTGTATGTGTGGAGGTGGGGAGATGGCACTATGAAGTCCTCACTAGAAGTCTTCTGAAGCTAGATGATCACACGCTGGAAATGTTCTAGACAGAATTTATGACATGGATAGGTATTGATCTAGATAACCTCTGAAGTCTCTTGCAGCTTTAATATTATATGAGTCTGCATATTAGGGAGCGGAAGGGAAGACAGGGCTGCCTAGGAAGGCTTATTCCTACAGGTAACTTCATCACTATAATTCTATTTATCCAGATATAACAAGCTTTGAATTTTCAAAATTCAAACAAAGCCTGTTTGGGTTTTCTGAGACTAAACTCTGGATTACAGAGAGGTAAACCTGTAGCCTTTCCTGACCATTAACTTGACTTATATCACAATATGCAAAATGTCAGATTTCTCAATATGACCTGCAAATATAATAAATAAAATGATCAACTTCTCTACGTATGGTCTTGGAGGAGATAATAAAAGCTATATTTTAGAAAAATAGTTAACAGTGGGGTGGAGTAGTTTCCACACCAGGAGTTCCCTACCCAGATGAAAAGACAGGTGTGGATTAAATAAAAGGTAATATAATTACTGTAGCTGTAACAGAGTAAAAAACAAAACAAAACACCACCACAACCAATAAACTTTTGGCTTTTTAAACTGTATAACACTTCTTTTTATAAGAAAAACTTTTTTCTTCGACTCCATTCTAAGAATCACTACACACACCACTCTCCACCCCACTTTAAATTTTATAACGCTGTTCTTATTCTAAGAAATTTTCTTGTCCTGACCTCCAAGGGAGGAGCTGGGAGGTTGATTTGGGGGCATCTCGTGGGCACTTTAATTGTGGGGTGACCACTCCCTTGGGCGCACTTGAGCCCCGGCCAGGGTCAAGGAGAGGGCAGGCTCGGGTCTGAGGTGGGCGTGTGGAGAGGAGCGGGAGCCGGGGCTGACAGGTCCCCTCTGCCCTTTACCTTTACCCCGGCTGCCAGCCCTGCCCGGGGCGGCCCCGCGGCGCAGCTGCTCCCGAGACGGGGAGGCAGAGATTGGGAGAGCCGGTCCGGGAGTCACAAAGACTGGCATGACCTTTGCCCTAGTTTTGGGGGGGCGGGCTAGGCATTCCGCCTCCTTTCATTCCCTGCTCTTCCTCCTCCTTCCCCAGACCTCACTAGGGTCCCCAGCTCACCGGGGCTGGACAGCTTCGCCAGAGGCACCAACATGACGACAAGCACAGGTGGGCTTCTCCGCCTCCGAGCCGAGCGGGACGAATCTACTAACTCAGCCTCCGCAGGACCTCTAGGCGGCGGGGGGCGCCATGCACCCTTCGCTCCACCAGCGCCTCTACTGACTTTCCACGGAGTCGTCTCATTGACCCCACTTCGTTCCTTTCCCGCCTCTCTAGGATTCTGCGCAGGCGCACGGGCCTCATGGCCTGACGGGATATGGAGTCCTTTAGTTCCTCTACTGAAGTTTGGCGCCTCTCTAACGGGAACTTAAAGATCACAGCTTGGGGGAAGTCTGTGAATCCCATCATACAACGCGAATGGAGAAGGGAAGAAGACAAGGCAGAGAAGCGCATGTTGGGATTTGTAGTGCTCCGGAACTAGCTCAAGGGAGCTCTCGATGGAGCAAATCCTTTGCGCAGGCGCGTTGGGCTTATAAATGGAAGCCTGTGTCCGGAATCTTATTGGCTGGTTCCGGGTGCTCAAGTTGACTTTGCTCTTGCTACTCCCCCTCCACGACTCGGAGGGCGGTGCGAGACAGCGGGAGGAGGGGGAAGGGAGAAAGGGGCGGGGCCCCCGTCTTGGGCGCGCGTAGTTGAAAGACCGTTACTCTGACGGTTGGTGTCGGTTCGTTTGGATCTCTCGGACCCTGCTCCGCCTTCCTGACACTTTCTGTTCACCATGGCCGAGGCCCGAGCTTCGCCGCCGCCTCCTCCTCCTCCCCCGTCTTCTCCTTCGTCCCCCTTGGCCCGCGCCGCCGCTTTCTCCTTGTCCCCGGAGCTCCCGGCAGTTTTGGCCGGGAGAATCCAGAACCGGGGCCGGGGCCGGGGCCGAGCCGTGGAGCCGCCGTCCGTGGACCCGCTGGAGGAGGTAGAGATGCAGATCGATGATGTGAGTAAGTCCGGCGCCCGCCCTCGGTTCCCGGGAGTCTCTCCTCCCTCCCCTGCTCGGCCCTGCTGAGACAAAAGCTCCGCTTCGGCCGCGCAGGGGCCGCCCCGGCCAGGGACTTGGTATCCCGGGGTGGGGGGTGGGGGGTGGGAGGCGGCCGCGGGTGGGACTCCGGGTGATGCCGCCCACCCGCAGCCCCAGGTTCGCCAGGTCTGCCCCCGAGCGCTGGGCCTTGGGCAGTGAACGGGTTAAACCCACCAGGCCCCTTCCCCCGAACGGCCTGTCCTTGACTTCGGGTCCGTATCGTTCCCCACCCCTCCGAAGCTCAACGGCGCTACTGAGTCTGCGTGGGATCCCAGCCCCTCTGGGCAGTGAAACCTGCCCTCCCGAGCTTTGGGGGGATTTTCTGGAGGCGTTCCCCGAGCTTGTCGTTCTCCTTCTGGACTTTGGCTCCAACTCCGTGCCAGGCACGCAGGGGTCACGATCTCACTGACAGGATCAGATACATTTGAGAATCGGTCTACGAGCATTTATTAAGAACCTATTATTTATGTGCCAAGCTTTGTGCCAGAGGTTTGGGAGTACCCGTACAAAGAATGAAACATCTCTATGTGCGAGCCACCGGGGAGTCAGAATGTTTTAAAAGTCCCTGCTCTGTAGGAGTTCTCCTTCGGTTGGGGTGTTTGTTAAGCCACAACACCTCAGAAAGGTAAATAGAAAGTTCACACAAGAGTAGTTACTTGGATCGGGAAAGGTCTCTTGTAGGAGGTGGCACCTCATCTGTGCTTTAAGAAAGCTAGAAAAAAGGCAGTGCATTGCAGATTTAGGGGGGCCACCAGCATGTAGCTGGAACTTAATATTTGCAGATGAGGTAGGCATTCCTACCTGCTTACACGAGTCTTTAATGGTTAACTTTAAAGTATGTCACATAAGGACCTTTGTCAGACTCAGTTTCTTCAGCTGCAAAATGGGGCTAATTAGCACCTACCTCCCATAATGGTGAGGATCAAATGAGATAATATTTGTAAAACCTTTAGTACAGTGCCTGGCACATAATACAGGAACTTACTTGCTATCCTCCTTGTTTCACTTCGGACAGTCGTGCTAGGCAATAGGAAAGTAATGAAGGTTAGTGAATCTCTTTGGTATCTGGCTCCGCGCCCCCCCCCCCCCCCCCCCCCCCCAGTGAGGAAATAACTGTGAGCAATTTTTAGCTTGGTTGATTTCAGTAAATAGTGGTTACAGGTACTTTTTTTGTATCTATCATCTTGCATGGCACTCTGCTCCAATCTAAGATTTTATAAGATTCTTTCAAGTTTTGCGTTGACAGACTCTTGTGAGATCCTCTCCTGCAGCAATAACAAAAAAAAGCTATTTGTTTCCAGCAAAGACTGAACAGAGGGAAATGGATTTAGATTGCAGAAGGAGGGATTATAATTATAAGAGATTTTAGGGAATGATTTATTGGGTTAGAGAATCACTTTCTTGGAGAGCTTTTAAGAATGAACCCAGAATGTTCAGAATGGAAGTGGAGGAATGAATAAACCAGGTTTTGTTCGATATATATCGTTGATTTTTTAAAAAAATTAATTTTAGATGACTATTAGACACATTTATTTTTATTTTTCTCCCCTCTAGGTAATCTTAAGAAATAATAGGATAGCCTTCTTCAGAAAAGATGAATTAAGTTTCTTGTTGAGGAAATATATGTCAGCACCTGAACATGCTTTTATACTTATTTGTGTACTTCTAAAAAACATTTTAAATAAAGATTACTTATACTTGGGAAGAATAATTTAGTTTTTGGGAGTGGGTTGTGAAAACTGTTCTAGAGATAAATATCCTGGAACAATTGGCAAAAATGTTTCCTAGAATCCTTTAGATCACAGATCAGGTAGGTAACCTGTGTGACCCTGGGCTCATTATATAACTTCTTTGGGTTTCAGTTTACTCAGTCTGTAAAGAAATGGTGTTGGATTATGATTTCTTAAGTGACGTTGCATAAAATAGCAGGTGTTAGTTTATTGCTTTACTATGAACTTAACAAATATCAACAAATATGAACATTTCCGTATACCAAAAAATACAGAAAAAAGATTATACATGAAATGGAATCTCTTATGTAGTTTTTTAAAAAATGTTATCAACTTTACTCTGTAACTCTGTCATTACCTACTTCTGTGCCTTCCTTTCTGATAAATAAGTATAATAAAAAAAAAATTCACATGTTGGCCTTTTCTGAAAATGGATGTCTCATTCTTCACCTCCATCTAATTCATCTTCTCTCTGCCAAGAAATAGGAAGTATATATCATCCTCAGTACTTTGGAGTTATGATTGATAATTATATCAATCACTTATTCAAATACTACGTTTGTTCAACCATTCCCCTAACTAATAGGCACTCACTTTGTTTCCAGTTCTTTTCTGCAGCAAAAAGTGTTGCTATGTACCACAACTTGTTCATCATTCCCAATTGATGGACATCCCCTTTAATTTTCAATTCTTTGTCATCACAGAAATAGCTGCTATAAATATTTTTGTATAAATAGATTCTTTTCACTTAAAAAAACATTTTTTTTTTGGAGTGCAGACCTTTGGCCATAGTTCCAAATTGCTCTTCAAAATGGTTGGATCAGTTCACAACTCCACCAACAGTTATTTTAAATGGATTTTCTCTTTCTATCTCTCGCTGCTGGATTTTATTGATAATATTAGTATGACCTTTAATGTCCATTTCAAACTTATTTGGGTAGGTGGTGTGAGACACAAATCTATTCAAATTACTTTGTTAAAAATGTTAGCCACTCTGAAACGAGATCTTGTATAGGTTTTTTTTTTCTTTTTATTTTTAATATAGAATTTCACACTAAAAATCTTGAGTTGAATCTCTATATTGTATATTTGTTGGAAGGGTTGTGGTGAAATTACCACTTATAACTATGAAATAAACTACAATACTTTGATTCCTGTTTCTCTCTCTTTTTTTTTAATTACAGGCAGCCTTTTCGTTAATGAAACTTCTTGAGGCCACATCTGCTGTTTCAGCCCAGGTGGAAGAGCTGGCATTCAAATGTACTGAAAATGCCCGGTTCCTTAAAACATGGAGGGGTCTGCTAAAAGAAGGCTATGATTCCTTGAAACCAGACAACCAATGCAGCGCAACCAACTAGATGTTGAAATAATGACTGCTACAGGAAATTGGGGGCAGATTTGCTACATGTATAATGCTTGCACTTTTTCCCATGTGATATTTGCACCTATGGATGTATAAGACTTTATTTCCAATAGTTATGGATATTTATGACACTTTGCTTTGTAATTGAATATTAAGACTTTACTTCCTTGTGTATCTTTTCCTGTTTTAAAAAGGAAAATATTTACTTAATTTTGACTCTGGATTGTATTTGATCTTGTTCCTGAGTCAGTTTGTGCCTACCAAACTTTCACAAGCTTGTTTTACTTTTAAAAGTAAATTTTATCTGTGATTAAGAAACTCAGAAATACAATAACTCAGTTTTAGAGTGCTTTATTACAAATGCTTTCCCTACAACAGTCCTCAGACTAGGTAGTATTTTAGTACTTTAGTAGACCTATGATCTCATCAGTGAGGATATTCCCTCCAACAGTATAGATCACAGCCTATTCATGCTTTTTCCTCTTGTGTGGCTTTTATTTATGTGCTCTTAGCAATTTGCCCTAAGGTATCCACTCAATTTTCTGAAAGTCTTCTTGGCAGTCTTTTAAAATTATGCTGGTACCAGAGCAGTACTCCAGGCTGTTCAGTTCCTTACTTTTGCTATTTGGTTGGCCCACTTTCTTTTCTGATAATGCATCTCTAGGATGGTACCTTCTGGGCTGCCACTTGTGTGCACATCATTGTTGGTGATCTGTTATACTACTGGTTTGTGCTCACCATATGTCTCACTTTTGCCCCTTTGGGTCACCTAAATTTTTAGATATTGTGATGTTCTGTGATTCATAGCTATATTGTTTCACTGGAAGAATGTTGCTTTAAAAAAAAAAGAGGGCTTTTAACTCAGGAAGCAGTTTGGAATTGTTGGAAGTACTGTTATTTCTGAAAAGCATTTCAGTCTGTATTCCTGCTATTCAGTCCTGGGTCTAGTTCGTTGTCCATGTGAGAGTATGTCTGAGATACTAATAGCCAAACTCAGTACCTATTCACTTGTATATCATAGGTCTAGGATAATGACCATTAGGTCATTCTTCATTCATGTAGTTTTTCCTGTCTTTATTATTGGGTCAAACTCTGTGTACTATATATATATGTATATCTCCTCATTTTCCTGATGAAACTGAGTCTCAGAGAAAGTGGGAGAGCTAGAACTTGAGTTCCAGCACTCTGGCTTCTAGTTCTATATGTTCTTTCTACCAAATCACACTCTGTGATATTAATTCTTTTGGTTCAATGCTGAATTGCCAATAGAAATGTTATTTTTTTTTCCTTCATGTTTCTAGAATGGAAATACTGGCCATTGGAAGTATTGGCCGTTTTCCCTCCCTTTGAATGTACAATCTAAAGCTTCCTTGAGTAGGGGGAAAAATTTTTTCCTCAACACAGGTGTAGATAACCACTGCCTTACTTCTTTTAAATATATGTAAACACAATAGATGAATGCTTTTAAAAGTATGGATGATGGAAGTTTTTTTTTTAACTTTTTATGAAACCTGGGATTTCACTCAAAACATTTTTAAAAGTTACATGGGACACATGTATATCCCTCATGTTTCTTTACTTAGCTGTATTTTTTTTTTACCGACAATTACAGTTTCTTATATCTAATCCTTCTGTACATTTGATTATTATTTTTAAAGTGCCTTATGCTTGTATAATTCCATGATATTACTTTGTGGATGTATGTAAGTTAGTGTTTCTGTTGTAATTTGTATGTAACTTAGTGTTTCTGTAACTCCTTTGAAAGCAGTGACTTGTTTTAATTGTTTCAGTGTTACTGAATTTAAAATTCATTCTTAACTGCTTTTTGTAAATTTTTTAGGGCTCCAACTGTGATAGCCACAGTTTTTTTTCCTGAATCTTTTGTTGCTCCTTTGGTTAGTTTACACTGTGTGTTGATACCAAAGCTATCGAAATCTGTTACATAAAATCTGTGAAATCTTTGGTGGCATAATGTTAAGAATTTTGTGTAAATAGATGCTTAGAGAATTAAGTCCTGAAATCCCTTAATGGGAGAGATAAAAGAGAGTAACAGTTGCTAGACTAGCCACTGAGTCACAGTTCTGTATTTTATCTGAAGAAGATAAGTTTAGGAAAGGAACTGGTAGACCATTCTGTACCATGTTCCCTGTACCAAAAAGGTAGTTATTTCAATGATAGAGGAAATATTTTTAAAAGAATGTGGTAGAAACAACAATTTTATTTATGTAAAAATAAACTTTTTTCATAAAGAAAATTTTGAAGCTTCCATTTATTTTTAAGTTAATTTAACAAAATGATTAGTAGCACATTCGACCCACATTCCCAACTGTGTTGAATTTCTTTGGAATTTTGTAATCCTTAATAGGCAAATTAGTTAAAATTTCATATCTTCATTTCACTTTTTCTCACCTTTTCCTACCTCTTTCATTTTTTTAAAGAGCCCTTGCTAAGTATCATAGCAAAGCAATGCCATCAAGAAGCAGTGCTTTGTCATTCTATAATTTATGGTCAAAGAGTCTACTTGACATTTTATTGTTAGGTCGTCAGAACCATAAAATTTCCAGGCAGTAATCCTAGATTCAGAACCTACGTCAAAGAATTGTTAAGGTGGGTACCAAATGTTATCCTGATGGCATGCCTGTTGCTCACTTAGAATGTGCCATAGGAATGGGCAAAGATGAGAACAAATAAGCTCACTAGGTGAACTCTCATAGGTTCAGCTTTCCCCATGTAGATGATTCCCAAGTCTATATCTCCTGCTGCAGTGTGTCATCTGAGCTGAAAGTTCTCTAAATCATGCCTTTTGGACTTTTCAAACTGACTGTCCAGGGATCTCAAACTTTTGTCCTCTGATTCTCCTTTTCTCTACTTTTTACTTTGGGGCACCACCATCTGCTGAGTCACTTAGGATTACCTCAGTGCCAGACTTATCCAAATGTTTCTACTTCATATCTCTCCCTCTGTCTCTCTGTCCTTCACCAACATAGCCACTGCCTTAATTCAGTTCCTCAGCATGGCTCACCTGGATTTTTGTATATTCTAATTGGTCTTAAGTCTCTTCATTTAGATACTGAAGTGATTTATAGTGTAGGTGTGGCAGTCTGCTCAGTAGACTCCAGAGTCTCCCTGGATTAAATATACTTTTTTTGTTGTATAAAGCTTTCCTTCCTACCTGCCTCCTTCCTACACTTTGTCTTCTTAGACTTTATCTTTTCTATACACTCTATAGTCCAGCCATACTTACTGCTCCTCATACGTCATGTTCTACCATTTCCCTGCCTTTTTTTTTTTTTCTTTAAAGATAGGAATGCAGGGGCTACTCATAGGCCATCCCAGTCTGATTGGCACAGGAGCTTTTAAAGCAAGCCTCAGCCTTGCTGGCAGCACCTTCTCTTTGCCATTATACTGGCTGCCTTGTCTGGAATGCACTCTTTCCTTACTTTGGTCTCTTAGTTTCCCTGGCTTCAAGAATTTCAAATTCATTTTCTGCAAGAGGCCTTTCCTAATTCCCCCAGCTGCCAATGGTTTCTAGTCTCTATCTTATCTAGTATCTATTTAAAGTTGCAGTCTCCATAACACTGGACTTTGTGTGGGCAGTAATTGTTTTTGCCTTTCTTTGTATTCCCAATATTTAGCACAATGCCTAGCACTGGGTGGTTAATGCTTGTTGACTCTGTCTTTTCAGGACTAAGAATATGTAGGACAGCATTAAGTAGGAATCTCCCATGATGCTTTTCTGTCTCCCACAATACCTAGAATATGTTACATGAACAGTAAGTACTTATTTAGCGTCTTTGAAGTGTGGCCCAATTTGCCTTGAATTCACTCCCATAATTCTAGACTGATTGCTTCCTATAATAATAGGCACAGAAATCAGATTGCTTAAAGTAATAGGTAAATGAATGAAAAAGCATTAAGCTCTTATTACATTACATAAGCTGAGGGATGAATATAGAATCAGAAAAGCAAGACAGTCCTTACTCTGAAGGATTTCTGTAAGTCAGATGGAACGGCATAGTAATCCTTGGAGTGCAACAGCAAAATAGTAATACATGTTCTTTAATGTTATGTCCATTGATAAAACCATATTGGGTCCGGTTATTGAACCTTTTGACAATGCCAAGGATTTTGGTGTCAAGAACTTTTCTCAGTTTTCAGTAGATGTAGTTGCTGAGGGGTCAGGGGCTGAAGCAATTGCAGAGGCTATCAACTATCATCTCTGCAGATGATTCTTAGATTTATTTGTCCAACCCTAACCTCTCTGGAACTCCAGTCTCATATCTCCAGCTGCCTATTGAACACTTCAAATTGCATATCTTTTTTTTCTATTTTAATTTATTTTAATATTTTTCCCCAATTTATTTATTTATTTTTAGTTTTCAACATTCACTTCCACAAGATTGTGAGTTCCAAATTTTCTCCCCATCCCTCCCCTCCCCCATCCTATGACAGCCTGCATTCTGATTTCCCCTTCACCCAATCTGTTCTCTGGTCTATTCCCTGCCCCCCTTATCCACTTCCCCTTCTATTTTCCTGTGAGGTAAGATAAATTTCTATGCCCCTTTGCCTGTGTATCTTATTTCCCAGTTGCATGCAGAAACGGTTTCTAACATTTGTTTCTAAAAATTTGAGTTCCAAATTCTCTTCCTCCCTCACCACCCACCCTCATTGAGAATGCAAGCAATTCGACATAGGCCACACATGTGTAGTTGTGTAAAACACTTCCATAATAGTCATGTTGTAAAAGACTAACTATAATTCCCTCCATCCTATCCTGGTCCCCATTTATTCTATTCTATCCTTTGTCTCTGTCCCTCCTCAAAAGTGTTTACTTCTTATTACACCCTCCCCCAATCTGCCCTCCCTTCTATCACTCCTCCCTGTCTTATCCCCTTTCCCTGTACTTTCCTGTAGGGTAAAATAGATTTCCACACCCAATTGGGTATGTACTTTATTCTTTCCTTAAGCCAAATCTGATGAGAGTATAGTTCACTTATTCCTTCTCACCTCCTTCCCCTTACTGTAAAAGCTTTTTCTTGCCTCTTTTATGTGACGTAATTTACCCCATTCTACCTCTCCCTTTCTCCTTCTCCCAGTACATTCCTCTCTCACCCCTTAATTTTCTTTTTTAGATATCATCCCTTCATATTCAACTCACCCTGTGCCCTCTGTCTATATATATTCCCTCCAACTACCCTAATAATGAGAAATGTCTCATGAGTTACAAATATCATTTTTCCATGTAGATGAATGCAAATGGTTGAACTTTAATAAGTCCCTTATGATGTCTCTTTCCTGTTTACCTTTTCATGCTTCTTAATGCATTAAATTCCTTTACATCATTGAATATCATTTTCCTCCCTCATTGGTTACACTTCATTTTACTGGGTAGGTGATTCTTGGTTTTAATCCTAGCTCCTTTGACCTCTAGAATATCATATTCCAAGCCCTCTGATCCCTTAATGTAGAAGCTGCTAAATCTTGTGTTATCCTGATTGTGTTTCCACAATACTTGAATTGTTTCTTTCTGGCTGCTTGCAATATTTTCTCCTGGGAACTCTGAAATTTGGCTATAATATTCCTGGGAGTTTTTATTTTGGGATCTCTTTCAGGAGGTGATTGGTGGATTCTTTCCATTTCTATTTTACCCTCTGGTTCTAGAATATCGGGCAGTTTTCCTTGATAATTTCTTGAAAGATGATGTCTAGGCTCTTTTTTTGATCGTGGCTTTCAGATAGTCCAATAATTTTTAAATTATCTCTCCTGGATCTGTTTTCCAGGTCAGTTTTTCCAATGAGATATTTCACATTGTCTTCTATTTTTTCATTGTTTTGTTTTTGTTTTATAATTTCTTGATTTCTCATAGAGTCATTAGCTTCCATTTCCTCCATTTTAATTTTTAAAGAATTATTTTCCTCAGTGAGCTTTTGGACCTCCTTTTCCATTTGGCCAGTTCTGCTTTTTAAGGCATTCTTCTCCTCATTGGCTTTTTGAACTTTTTTTTTTGCCATTTGGCCCACTCTATTTTTTGAGGTATTATTTTCTTCAGCCTTTTTTTTTGAGTCTCTTTTAGCAAGCTGTTGACTCGTTTTTCATGATTTTCTTTCATCACTCTCATTTCTCTTCCCAATTTTTCCTCTACTTCTCTTACTTGATTTTTAAAATCCTTTCTGAGCTCTTCCATAGCCTGAGACTAATTCATATTTTTCTTGGGGGCTCTGGATGCAGGAGCTTTGACTTTATTATCTTCTTCTGGTTGTATGTTTTGATCTTCCTTGTCACCAAAATAAGATTCTATAGTCTGAATTTTTTCTTTCTGTTTATTCATCTTCCCAGCCAGTTCTTTGACTTTTTAACTCTTTGTAAGGTAGGGGTCTGCTTCCAGTGTGGAGAATGTACTGTTCCAAGCTTCAGGGGTTTTATGCAGCTGTTTTCAGAGTTACTTCTAGGACCTGTAAATTTTCAGTTCTTTCAAGGTGTTGTGATCAAAGCAGAGGTGTTTACTCCTCTCCTGGCCTGTGCTCTGGTCTGTGAGTTACCACAAGCACTCTTTTCTGCCCTGGAAATGAGAGGAGGGTTCCCCTCTTCACTGCTGCTGCAAGCTCCACCACACCAGCACTCCTCTTCACCCCAGGACTGCCACCCAGGACTGGACCCAGATCCAAGCATGGGAAAAAGAAGAGAATCTTGCCTCAGCACCAGCAGAGAGATCCCTGCAATCCCCCTCTGCTCAGCCACTTGATTTCCCCCCTTCCCCCCATCCGTAGTCCAAAAGCTCTGGAAGCAACCACAACTGTGGCCACTGCTCTGGAGCTACTCTAGGGCCAGGGCTGGACCAAGCTCCTCTCTCACCCAGATCTGACAGACCTTTCCCTCTGACTTTCTAAGCTGTCTTTGGCATTTGTGGGGCTGGAAACCACCATAGCTCCCCTTGATTCAGTCTCCTGAGGCCTGCTCCAGGTTTACTGAGGCCTGGTCTTTGCCTATATGGCCTACACTGAACTGCACTCCTCTCCCAGCACATTGCAACAGACTTTTCCCATGAACCATCCACTGGAAATTTGGGCTGGAAATTTGTTTCACTCTGTCTTTTTGTGGATTCTGCTGCTCTAGAATTTGTTTAGAGTCATTTTTTACAAGTATTTAGAAGGGTTTGGGGGAGAGCTCAGGTGAGTCCCTGCTTTTACTCTGCTATCTTAGCTCTGCC